CAGTTAATGATTACTTGTTTGATCAATCTTGTATGTCTCTATTTGTTTTCTTGAGAAACTACTTTGAAAATATCAATACGTAATACAACAATCATTGTTAATTTCCTACAACTTTGTCTGTAACTCTGTTTTGTTTGTATTGTTCTTATGCTATTTTGTAAGAGGATATGTTTCTTAATATGTTTTCCTTCTATTTCTTAAAATTTAAAAAAACTGTATTATTTGTTCAATATTAAAATCTCTTTAACTTTGATTTATTCCTATTTGACAATACTTTCTTCTGACAAATATCAACATCTGAGGAATTAAGAGTTTCAGGGATACAGCTTTCCAGTAACACGGAACGTTCTTCTGGGTTATGGAGGAAGCTTGCCGGATTCTTCTTATGGTGTCAGGATTCAAATACAATTGTCAATCAGTTCTGCTTCAAACAAGTCCCCAGGACATGGTCACTCAGTTGTGAGATAGCCTCCAAATGAACTTTGATTGCTTATTACTAAACTGTCGATGGGTTTTTATCCTATCATTAGATGAAAATTTTATTTTAGCTGTTAGAAAGCTCAATACAAAACTTTGATTCTCATTTATAATGATAATCCTGGTATCCACATGCATATCTACTTTTTAAATAAGTTTTTATTCTGGTTCCATTTTAATTGCTAGGGTTATTTCTTTATTTTCAGCAAAATATGAATCAGAGGTAAAAATATGGTTTACCATAAAGATTCTAATACTGCTCAATATGGATTTTATCATAATGAATAAATTCTAGTACTGCTCAATATGGATTTATAAAAATAAATATATTCTAATACTGGTCAATATGGATTAATTTTATCATAATGAAAGCCAATGAGTCACTTGTATTTTTTTTATTTTGAAGAAAATAAAAAGTTGAAAAAAAAAACAATAAAATGATACAGAATTTCAAAACAAAATGACAGGAAATCAACAATGGTTGTTGATAGGTCCCTCACATTATACCTCACCCAACTTGAAGAGAAAAACTCCAACAACCAGTCTGTTCAAACAGAAAGCCCCTCACTCAGCTCAAGAGACTAAAGCAAATCTGTTTATCAGGATGGTTCCCTGGACTAGTTCTCAGGCTTACAGGAAACTTCTTAAGTCTACAGGATGTCACACTGTGTGGTAATTCAGCAACATGCAGATGTCCTCCTGCACTCCGCCCCCTAGAGGCACCAGACCAACCAAACGCCCCTGAGAAACAAATTTTCCACCTTTCTCAGTGGAATTTCCCCCTCCTGTACCTAAAATATTTGTCTATAAAGTAGGCCCCCTTCCTTTGTTCAGGGCCAATGGCTTTCTCACCGTTGGCTCAGGGTGCACCCAGCCTGAAATAAAGATATCGCTGTTTGCTTCAATCCTGCCTGTCCCGGTGGTCTCAGTCACTACTCGGGGTTTAGCCTGATAGTTGTTACACTGCACATTGTTATCTTCAGAGTAGTTTAGATTACCACATATAAGCATGCAAAACTGATCAAACAATTAAGCATTCACTGTTCCTTTCAAGAAACCAATAGAAATTAGTAGTACAATTACCTTAGCTAGCTTGTGTACATATATATATATTTTCTTCCCCCTTCTTTCTTTCTTTTCTCCTTTCCCTGATCCCATTCATTCTTTCCTTTTGGCAGTTCCTTTCCCTTTCATAATACCTATTGTACCTTTCAGATTTTATTTACTTTTGCAGTTTCTTATACTAGGGAGACAATATCAGTGTGGAGATTCCTCAAAATACTAGGACTAGAGGTCCCATTGAACCCAGTTATCCCCCTTCTAGGCATTTTTCCAGAAAAATTGAAAACATCATACCACAGAGATATATATGCACCATATTTATAGCTGCACAATTGTCATAGCTAAATCTTGGAAACAACCCAAATGCCCATCAACTGAGGAATGGATAAAAAATATGTAGGTTTTTTTATATAATGGAGTATCAGTCATTTGTATTTTGAAGGGACAAGGTTTAATAGGAAGATATAATATTGTTTGTAACATGCATAAATTATCCAGTTGTAATCATAATTAACTTAATAAGGGTTGTAGACACTCTAACAGGAACACAATTATTTATAGTATAAGGAAAAAAACTTTTAAAACAATTTCTGCATTCAATTCCATTTCTAAGAATTTACTATAAAATACAGATTACATTCTCCTAAACTAATATAAAATATCTTGAAACTCTTGACTCTTTATTAAAATATACCATAATTTAAGAGCTGGAAACTCTCACAAAGGCACAGTAGTAGACAGGAGGAAATACACAGGTGGGTCCATAGCAAACTAGAGAAAACACATGAGCTTCATATACAGGGGGAAAACCCTAACAGCCATCTGGGTTCCAAAGACACTAGATTCCCTTCTTGCAGAGCATCTTGAACCTCTAATTCTGCTGGAGTTTCCTGAAAGTTCAATGTGGATTCAATTTATAGAGACAAATTGAATATAGCTAAGATCCACATTTAGTCCACAGTTTTTTGCTTATATCTTTGCTGTGCATGTGCTTCCAAATGGTTGTGTAGAAAGCAAGTGTTTGCATGTAAAATACTTCAATATCATGTTTTGTAAGGTCCCACAATGAAATGAAAGATTCATTATTCCTATTTCAATAAATTTTCCAACTCTTAAACTTATCATTCATTTGCATGCAATTCTCCCTGACTTCATGAAGAGTTTCATAGGAGCGCTGAGACTAAATTATCAAAAGAATTCCCAGCCTGGCATGGTAGTGCGCACCTGTAATCTCATCACTATGTGAGGCCAGGTAGAAGGATCAAAGTTTGAGTTCTACCTAGGCAACTTAAACTCTGTTTCAAATTTAAAAACAGGGTGAAGCGTGCTGAGTCTGGAATATAGCTCAGTGGGAAGGCCCTACGTTCAATCCTCAGTATTGTAAAACATAAATCAATAAATAAAGATTTAAAAAAGCATTCCCATCTATGTTCTTACTAATTTCATGGATTTCTGCCAGGGCTTGCGGAACTTAACATGCTGAGACAGTCTATCACATGCCTTCAACTAAAAACAGGCTCATGGTTCGTATTATTCAAAATCCTGCAAATAATCAACATTTGTTAACTTCATGCCATGAATGATAATAAAGAGATGTAGAATTCTTAAAGATTCAGTCTCAACCATAAGTGAATTTCTACTGAGCTTCTCGATGGCAATGGATGATTGAAGGTTGGAGGGAAAGTGGTGGTATTCTGCATAGCAATAGGTAACACTGATGATACTCCTAACTTCCCATTGACAGAGATAGAGAAGGACAAATGAAAGTTGGGCTAGTATTGTTGGAAAGGAGAAATCAGAAGAAAGTGGTATTTAATCAAACTCATCTAAAGATTTCTTAAGTTTCTGAGAATTAGGAAATCATCCATTAAACACACTTATCTATTAAACAGTTCTGAGCTATATCAGAATCCTGAGGAAATATTTTTAAATGTCCATGTCAGGCCTCCATAGATTTACTGAATCAAAAATATTTAGGGCAGAGCCTCAACTTGCACATTTTCAAAACTTTCCCCAGATCACTGAGATGCACAAGTCTACATGAGAACTGGAGAACTTAAAACATCACTTCAGTATCATCTCTCATCCACACAGCCAATTCTTTTCACTATTTGAGGATTTGGCCAAAAGGAGGGAAAGTAGGAGACAATTACTTCATGAAAGCTCCATTTAATCCTCTTGGCTAGGTGCAAGTAAATTCAAAATGCAACTGATTTCATTATATAAGCTCCTTATCTCCCAGCTCCCAGCAAGACATGATAGGTTTGAAAGCAGAATTTAGACTCTTATCTTAGTTGCTTTTGCTGCCTGAAAAGGAGAGGTTGCCCCTTAATTATTTGTTCACCCCCTTTGTTTTCCACCTAATCACCATTCAGCCAGTGCCAATCTGGCTTCCTCAGAATTCTAAAATTGCAGGTTTGTAACTATACAACTTTCTTTTCTAATTAAGAATTTTTAGTCCCAAGCCAGGTACTACAGCCTGTAATCCTTGCGCTATAGGAGGCCGAGGCAGGAGGACTTCAAGTTCAAGCCCACCCTAGGCAACTAAGTGAGACCATGTCTCAAAATAAAAAATAACATAAAAGAGCTAGAGATTTAGCTCAGTGTGAAGGTCCTGGGTTCAATTTCCATTACTGAAAAGAAAAAGGGAATTTTTATTTCCCACATTGAAGAGCATCCTGTCTATACATATAAACCAGAAAAAAAAAATTTTTTTCTCAAAAACAAGCAAGCAAGCAACCAACCCCCACTGGTCTGCATTATTTCTAACCACTTTTCATTTTTCCCATTTAAGTGAAACCACAGAAAAATGAATCATTTTTATAATCTCTCAACAGCAACAAGATTTCCACTTATTGTGAAATACTGCTGTTCAGTTTAAGTTTTAAAATAACACCTACTTCCAAGGTAAATTTTGTTGTTCTGTGTTGTTTTACAGTAACTAAGAAAAACAGAACAAAACAAAACAAAACTTTGTAAAAGTGTCAGAAGAAAGTATTTACTTTTTAAAAATTCAGTGTTTTCACAAATCCTTGCTATAAGTACATAAAAGAAACCTGTATCCTCCAGTATTTCTTTAAAACCACGAACATTTAAAGTGAAATCTTAACAACTAAGTTATTTAAAAAACTGTATTTCTAGTAATGGAATGCTTGAACTTCTAAATATGGAAAACTGACCCTACCTATATGTCACTGTTAACATGAACATATTTCAAATGCTTTGGAAATAAAATCAATTATCTGTACCTTGTTTTTTGCCTCAGCATTTGCACTGTGTGAAAGCAGTTTTGCCGCTATCGATGTGTTTTCACTATAGATCGCATAATGAAGAGCGGTGTTGCCCCTGGCATTGGCAACGTTTGGATTTGCACCATGTTCCAAGAGAAGAGTCACACATTTCTCCTGGTCGCATTGCACAGCCTGTCGGTAGTATAACAAGAGAGACACCATCAGTCAACTCAGGGAACTCAAAACAGACTTTCCACAGGCCTCACCAAGTAGTTATATTTAAATTACATGGATTCACTTTTATTTTCAGCATTTAAATACAGTTCCTCTCAGGCTGAAATTGTTGGCTGCTATCTACCTTAATCAGTGCGGTGTTATTGTCACTGTCACAGGCATCGATGTCACACTTCCTCTCTACCAGGAGAGTCACCACTCCTGGATGGCCATAGGCACAGGCGAAATGCAGAGCTGTCCTGTGACGATAACAAAGATTATTAGGAAATCACACAGCTCAATTTCAAAAGGCACAATTATTCATGTAATTGTGAACATTAAATAGCTTTCAAAACAAGTATTTAATTTTTTTCTCAAATGTAGAATACTTATTAGCTCTTATTACTCACTGATTAATGGAAGAGCAGTTGGGTGATTTTGTGTTTGTGTGTGTGGTGCAAGGGATGGAAGCAAGCATCTTGCGCATACTAAGCAAGAGCTCTACCCTGAGCGGCCTCCCAGCCTAGAGCAGCCTACTGGAATAGAAAGAGCATGCCTTGGATTTCGCTCAACTTGGGTTTATTTCCGACTTGAAGTTCTTACTTCCTATCTATTGTTTAGCCCTTTCTATGCCTCAATAGCCTCACGTATAAAATGAGGATTGAAAGCAGTTATCTCACAGAACACCACTGTGATGGTTAAATAAGAATTCATGCAAAATATTTAGAACAATTTCAAGAACAAACAACAGCTCAATAATCATTAGATACTATAATTACTACTATTACTACTTAACAAAGACATTTCAATTCAGTAAAATAAAATAATTCAAATGCACCTACTTTGTGGGGTTAGGATTATTTCAATGAGTCTTAAGATTCTTTTCCTCACATTGTAACATCTCTGATTTTGGAAAGCCACATATAGCTCACAAGACTGCAGACAGATATGTTATAACTATAACTGGTGATGTGGCAGGGCCCCTCCTGACCTGTAGGGTGGGAACTTTTAATGTAGCAATATCAGCTTCTGTGTATGCAAGTGCAGTTCTGATATAACTCTGTAAGATAAATCATACCCAACCAGACTGCAGAATGTTAATTTATACCCAACCAGACTGTAAAATGTTAGTGTATATCCATATAAGGGAGACGAAGACACAAAAATGGTATAAAAGGGTGCAACCATATGTAAATCTATACCCAATAAAATGCATATAATGAAGTGTACACATAATAAAATCTATAAACACAGATAATTCCTTTACTTCTGAAAAAGCTAAGAGTTGGCAGAAATACCAATATACCCACATGGAAAAAAAGAAAATTAGCTATTCTAGACTAATATTCCTATTTTTCTCAAGGATTATTTTATTAATAGTAAATTTTTACTAGGGTTTTATACATATTCACTGCAGAAATCACAGATAAGAGGAAGGAAGGAAAGGCACACACAACTATTGCCAAAATAATCAAAAGACAGTCCAAAATGCAAGACTCAAAAAATGTCAAAATATTGAATTAATACTGAGTATAGTTTCTGGTGTCAGTGAAACTAAGAATCAAAAAGATAATGAGAAACCCTTCAATATTAGGAATGGAATGAACTTCTAGATAATAAAAAAGAACAGAAAATTTCACTTATCATTTAATTCATGAAAATAACAAATTTTGCCACATTTTGTACACATTTTTTGGCTAATACAAGACTCCAGTCTATTTGTGTGTATGCAGAATCAAACTTACACTTTCCTCACTTGATATACCAAACTGCATGTTTCCATGTCAACATACATTCATGCTTATGCCAACTTCAATGATTATATACTGTTCCATCCTATGAATGCACTGCAATGGATACAATCTCTTCTATGGAGTCGTCTTAATACACTGCTATTTTAAGCAATGCTAAAGAAAAGCAAATTTGACACATACATATGTGTCTCTATGTCCTAAAGGTATTAGTATTATGAAATTGATGGGTGGAGACATGCTTTTTTAAAATGTGGTACAGTACTTATACCAAATTGCCTATTTGAAAAAGTCATAAGCCATCTTAAATTTTAAGCAGCAGTATAAACTACCCTTTATCCTCACAAACTCTGTAGTTGCAAAACAGCATTTCATTCGTTTTTACAATTAAATTCCTTTACCAGGGATACTAAATATTTCTTTTTATGTTTACAGGTCACTTGTAGATCTGCCAAAGAATACACAATTTAGAGTTCAATACAGCTCAGTGGTACAGTCCTGGACTTGAGGCTCACGGTGTGCTCCCGACCACCAAAATAAATAAATTAGAACTCAGTATTTTTTGCTTGATAATTTGAAAAAATTCTCTGTAAGACAAAGATACATTTTTCATCTGACTTATGTTGCAAATGTTTCCAAGTTTGCTGTCTTTCACTTTAACTTTTTTTCTAATATAAAGGAGAATTTAATTTTTCTTTTGATAGTCAACCTTCGGAATGCAGGTGGGAAAAGTAGAGTAGCTCAGTGGTAGGGTGTTTAGCATGCACCAGGTCCTAGGAAGGCAGGTCTTCACTACATTTTCTTAGTGACATAACAACAAAAGAGGGTACATGGAACTCAAGTGTTACGCGACATTTTCATTTGATTTCTATAAAACTGATAAAAAGAAAGTTCACATTTTGAGACTAACGGATCTTTCTAGTCAAGAACATGGAGCCATCTTCCCAGTTCAGTTTATTTGTAAGATTCCTTAGCAAAGAACATACATGCACAGGCGTACACTGACAGAAAATGCAATACCAGATTTTATCAGATTAACTTTTAGCTCTGAATTTGATATATTATGGGATATATTTCATAGTGTACTTTTTTTTACAGCGTATTCAACAGTTCTCTTAACGTGATACTCAGAATAAAATATTGTACACACATTTATTATCAGAGTTAAACCGCTTTTAAGTAGTCAATACAGGGTTCGATAACAGGAAGCACAAGCTGATTGAAAACCGGCTAAAGCTTTGTTTTTATTTCGCTGCTCATTAGGACCGCACGCGGACAGACCCTGTCCAGGGCTTGCCTCCCCGGGGGGTGGGAATCGCTCCCCTCCCGGCCCGCCTCTCCCCCTCCCTCCTTACCCACTCCGACTTCCTAACCGTTGGCCCCGCCGCTGCCCCTCTGCAGCGCCTCGCCCCGCAGGCCCATTACCTGCGCTTCTCGTCCCTGTCATTCAGGCTACTCTTCCCAAGAAGGAGGAGGTGCTGCACCCTGGCCACGTCGCCCTCGCTCGCAGCCTTGTGGAGCTTGCGCACGGACCTGTCGAAGACGCGGCACCGCGCACCCCTGGAACTCCTCCGCGGGCGCGAGGGGCTCAAGGGTGCCTGGCCCTTGCTGCTGAGGCCGAAGATCCTCTTCATGGCAGAGGCGGCGGGTGCCCAGGCACCGCCCCGCCCCTCCTCGCCCCGCCCCCTCAACCTTTCGCCTCTTTTGAAGGTGAGCCAATCCCGAGCGCCCCTGTGTCACAACCGCCAGGCTCCGCGGCGGCTTCCCAGCAACGCGCCTAACCTTCCAGGCGCTTGCGCGTCTCCGCCCGCGCCGCGCATGCTCACTGCGCCTCAAACGTGGGTAGTAAGTTTCAGGTAGAATTTCCAAAACTGTGATATTGAATAATGTGTACACTGTACCAGATTTCTTTTGTGTTGCGGGAGGGCCAGCAGGCGGCGCCCGTATCTTATTGAGCTCCGAGCCTCCCACACTGAATCCCCACCGCCACCAGAGGGCGTGCGCTCCCGTCTTTCCTGACAAAACACAGCCAGGGAGGGTGCCAGACGCCTGAGTCCACCGAGAATAGTATTCAAAGTCTTGCACTCAGGCATGAGCACCGAGAAGTGGCTGTGTCTTCCGTGCAACTATGAGTGCAGAGCTTCCTATATGTGCCTTGAGTGCAGGGCGGAGGGATGGGCCTCTAGATCAGCAGAGAAGGAGCTTCAAGCAGAGGATGCCATTCACTGTGACCACTGTTTCCATTGAACAACCAAGACAGACTCATAATAAAAAGGCTACAGTATAGCTAGGAGCAAGTGATATGCTGTCCCCTCTGTGGCCTGCAGTACTAAAGTACTATTCACACAGTGGTGTCTGATGCTAGCATTAAACCAACAAACACTGGGTCTTAATACAGCAATTGTATCCTCACTGTGACCCCTCACCTCTCATATAATGGACATACTGTGGCCTATAATATCCTAAGGCTAATATGATATCCACCCAATGTTACAGATTTTTTGAGACAGGTTCTCACTGTGCAAACTCATAGATTCTAGAACTATGAAAAAATACACTTCAATAGCAGAGTTGTGACATTACGCCTTCTCAAAAATTTGTAAATTTTCTCTATTACAACATATGTAATGTTTGTACTTAAGAACTGAAGGAAGATCTCATGTTGTAGTAGTTTGTCTTGTAAAGGTTAGCTCTGTGTTGACTTTTTGTTTTGTTTTTTGGATTTTTTTTTGGTACTGGGAAATGAACTCAGGACCTTGGGCTTGCCAGGCAGGCACTGTGCCACTGAGCTATATTTCTACCTCCTTAGTAATGTGTTGAAATAAGCATTTATTCTATTTTATAAGCATTCTAAATGTCTGAATATTAAATCCATAAGAATTAATAATCTATAAATTGTGTTTCTCAGCCCTATTATTTCCAACTACAATCATTGATCTGTTCTTTTTTAAAATTTTATTTTAAAATTAAAAGAAGGAAAAATAAAATTAAATTAAAAGAAGGAAAACACATCAATAGACAGACACCATTTACATGATAGCAAAAGAACAATACAAATAATACAGAGTTACAGACAAAGTGGTAGGAAATTAACAATGGTTGTTGTATTACATATTGATATCTTTAAAGTGGCTTCTCAGGAAAACAGAGACATGCAATATTGATCAATCAAGTAATCATTAACTATTCCTTTCAGCAAAGCAATAACATTGATCTATTCTTAGCTTTCTCTTCTCAAACTCACCCTCTCTCCTGCTTTTAGTCCTTGGCTCATTGGAGTTAGTTATACTGGTAATGACTATCACAGTTCTTTGAGGATTCTCATTAGTTAGATATTGTTTTTCAGCCCAGCTTAGTAAGGAATAATTAACTTCACTTTACTGTTTGCTTATTTTAAATCATACATAAAATATCTGCACTCAGTTTGGAACACTTCCATTCCCTCCTAAAAGAATTGTTTTATTTAACCTGTGTTTCACTTTGCTGAAGCCTCATATAGCACCAATAAACTGTCCATCACTATCAAAACTGTCCACACCTATACATTTTTCTATTCCTGCCATTTTTTTTTACATTTAAAGGAAAAAAACCATTAAAGTTTTTTAAATCAATAAATTTAATAGTACAAAATTTCAAAACAAGATTGTAGAAGAGTAAAAATGGTTAGTATATTGTGTATTGTTATCTTCAAAGTAGTTTCTCATTTATAAGATATGGGCATGAAAAACTGATCAAACACTATAGGCACAAACCTTTTTTTCAATGAACTAGTAGCAATTAGTATAACTATTTGAACTATGTTGTGTGTGTGTATATAGATTATATATGTAAACATATGTATTTATTTATTTTTCCTTTCCCCTTCCTTCTTTTGTCCTTTATCCCATACCAGTTTCTCTTTCCTTTTGAAGTTTGTTCCTATTTCACAATATCTATTGTACATTTTGGATCTTATTTCCTCTTTCAGCTTCTTACACTAGGGAGACCATATGATGTTTACACATGCAAGCCTGATTTCACATATGAGTATGGTCTCAAGTTGCATCTATTTCTCTATAAATGTCTCAACTTTATCCTTCTTTACAGCTGAGTATTTCTCCATTGTATATAAATACATTTTCTTATTCATTCCTTGGTTAATGGATATTTGAGTTGTTTCTGAGATTTACCTATGACAAACGGTGTTGCTATAAACATGGGTGCACATATAGTGCTGAGGAATGATGTTTTTAATTCTTCTGGGAAAATACCTAGAAAGGGAATAGCTGGATTGAATGGGCTCTCTAATCCTACTTTTTGGACAAATCTCCACACTGATTTCCTTAGTGGTTCTACCAGTCTACACTCCCACAAACAGTGAAGAAGGCTTCCTTTTCTCCCATAGCCTCTCCAGCATTTGTTATTGGTTGATTTCTTGATGCCAGACGTTCTTTCTGGAGAGAGATGAAATCTCTGCCACAGTCTGGCTTCAGCAGGTCCAGGAGATTCCCACAGGACGGAATGACGCAGGTGAGGAGACAAACAACAGAGAACCCAGAGGTCTTTCTGGAGGGGCAGGAAAGCAAGGCTCCTCTGACCCAGAGAAATGTTCTTTGCTTTATTATATACTTTTCGAATTACATATGAAACTTGGCAGGTTAAACAATTTCCACTTAGATACAATGGGGTTTCTATTTTGGTTACAGATTCAGACATGGTTGACCGACCGTCTGGCCACAATCCTAGCAGGAAATCAACTTTTCTAAAGCACATAACAGGAAGCAAAAAGATCAATCACTAGAGGTTCTTGATTAGGTGTAATTTTTCACAGAATTGTTTACTTGTCTGCTGCACAACAGGACCCACATTTATCATATCTCCATCTAGAGCCAGTCTGGCACACACAGGGCCTTCACCTAATGTTTTCCCATGCACTAAGGTTTGCACAGCGCTCCCCTCCCTTTCTGGTGGGTGAACATCGCCACACAGGAGGTAGGGGACTGATGTAAATCTCTGTGGTGGCTTCTACTTCCTCTTTCAACCCTGAAGGGGTGCCTTTTATCCTGGGCTCTGATTCCTTAACTACTTTCAGTTCTGATCCTTCAGGTCCCTAACTATCCTTTATAGACAGCGCATTAAATATCTGGAAGGCTAGGATTAGTATAGAAAATAGAAGGAGGCCACGCACCCATCCTATGTGGTCCCTGCTTTGCAGCTATCCGCTGCCAGTTCTGACTGTGTCAAGGAACTGGCACTGGAAGGTCTCTGGCAAATCTCAGTGTTGTTTTAATTTCTATCTCTCAAATGACTAATGATGTTCAACATTTTTTCATATATTTATTTGCTATTTGTATGTCTTCATCTGAGAAGTATATATTAATTCCAGATGCCCATTTTTGGATTGGGTCTTTGAATTTCAGGGGACTGATATTTTTCAGTTCTTTATGTGTTCCAGATAGAAGTCCTTTGTCTGAGGGACAGTTGGCTAAAATTTTTTCCCATTCTGTGGTTTACCTTTCACTCTATTGGTGATTTCTTTTGACGTGTGAAAGCTTTTTAATAGGATGAGATCCCAACTGCTGATTCTTTCAAGTGTTTCTCATGTAGTTTGGGTTTTGTTCATGCAGTCTTTACCTACCCCTATGTCTTGAAGATTTCTACCTACTTTCTCTTCCAATACAGTTAGTGTTTCTCTTAATATTTAGATCTTTGATCCATTTTGACTTTAGTGCATGATAATAGACATGGGTCTAGTTTTAGTCTTTGTCATGTAGAGAGCCAGTTTTTCCAGCACCATTTTTTAAAGGGGCTATCTTTCATACAGTGAACATGTTTAGCCTCTTTGTCAAAGATAAGGTGGTTGAATGTGTTTGTAGTTGTGTCTGCATTTTCTGTTCTGCTCCACTGGTCCTCAGGTCTGTTTTGTTGCCAGTACCATGCTGATTTCATTACAGTAGCTTTGTCATATACTTTCAAGGCAGGGATGTGATACCTCCTGCCTTGCCTTTGTTGCCCAGGATTGCTTTTGCTATTCTAGGTCTCTTATGGTTCCAGATGAATTTTAGGAATGTCTTCTGTAGATCTGTGGTGTATGTTAATGGCATTTTGATCAGGATTGCTTTAAACCTGTGAAACAATTTTGAGACTGTGACCATTTTCACTATGTTGGTTCTTCCTATCTATGAGCAAGGGATATCCTTCCATTTTATGATATCCTCTTTGATTTCCTTTTTGAGAGTACTGTAATTTTCAATGTATAGATCTTTTGCTTCATTTGTGAGATTGACTCCTATGTATTTCATTTTTGGGGATGATATTGTGAATGATGTGGTTTCCCTAATTTCTTGCTCAGTAAGTTTGTTGTTTGTGTACAGGAACAATATTGAATTTTGAATGTTCACTTTGTATCCAGCCACCCAACTGCATTTGATTATTCACTCTAGGAGTCTTATGGTGGAGCTTTTGGGGTTTTCTATGTAAAGAATCATGTCATCTGCAAATGATAGTTTAGCTTCTTCCTTTCCTATCCTTATTCTAGATGGAGATAAAAATGACAATTCCAAGAACAATAGAAAGGAGCCATCAAGCAGAAAAAGCAATTAAACAGAGGGGCAAAGTAGGGAACCAACATCAGGAAAATAACATGACAAAGATAAGCCAATGCATATCAGTTATAACCATTAATATAAATGGCCTCAATTCACCAATCAAAAGAAACAGATTGG